CTGAAAAACGAATACATGTACATCTTCTTGCTCTATTGCTAAAATGAGAGTCAGGCATGGTGGGTCGATCAAATAAGGACATGTACATGTGAAACGATCAAGGGTCAAAGTTAAAAATACCACTGCGCAATCATGACAAAAAAAACACGGGCGACGCGCGACGGCAGATATGGAATTCCATAGTTACGGTTGTCTCTTTATTAAGTGTCTTGGGATTGGGCTTCTAACGGTATTTTGTAAGTGGTTATTAGTATTTCGTCAAAGGTAACTGTTGGAAGCGAGGTGACTTTTCTTCTCTAACGTTTACGAATGAAGTAAATGACATTTCAGAAATTAACGATATTATAATGATATCGCAATGAGGGCTATAATCAATAAGAACAAGGGTCCAGAGGGTTGAACACAGTGTGTTTGAGTTGTAGGATTATTATGATCTGTAGTATCATTTTGGATGTATACAGCAAGAGTTTGAAGGCAACTTCATGATTAGTGTTGTCATAGTTAATGTGAATCACGTGGTAATAAATGGGCAAGCATTTGAAGGTGAAGGCAACCTTACAAATGGGCAAGGTTTGCCGAACACGAAGTCATATAAGTGTTCCCGAGCGATTCAACCCCGGGAATCCTGTGAAACTACACAAATTTAAGCCTCGAATGTGTGTGTTACAAAAGCACCAAATTCAGGACATACCACGCTCCAGTTATTCGGTATGTACGGCATTCCGGCATACCGCCAATAACGCAGTTTTCGATGATAGTCAGAAACCACTAGCCTGGTATACACCTTTGGTGCTTGGTTGAAATGCGGACCCTGGACATGCCTTAAATGCATGGGGGTAGTGGCTGGTGGGACTTCAATTTATACAAAAGGCGATTTAAGGGCGTTGATCAGGTTTATTGAATTGTCCCAAATTCAAATCTGTTTCTTTGAAGAATTCTAAATGTATTGTAATCTGTTATGTTACACACGTGCCTTGGTCCAAGCCAGAATCCCTACTTAAACCTTACCACGCAACACCACCGCCAACATTCCGTGACCAGACCTTGCTGCGTACATTGCCTTTCGACTCGCTGCTCTTCAGGAACTTCAGTCCAGTTTTTACATCATGTCTGCTTCGACTTTCCTTGGCGCACTCGTAGTGGTTCTTGCCGTGATTCCATCTGGCCAGGCGTTCGTGAATCCACGTAAGAATCGTGGGGGAAAGTACCTTCGAACCCATTTTGCTCTGTAACACGGAACATTTGGTTTGTACAGATTTGAAGATCTTGGCCCTCAGGAAACCTTTCCGAATTGACTTGGAAATGCACGTAATGTATTTTGTATGACAATGAGACGGGGCGAATTTCAAAAATGTGTTTTGAGTTCTTAAACCTTTTAAATTTGGTCCTGATCTCAAAACTAAACGAACATGCACACAAAGAATCCAGGTTTCGCTATCAAAATTTAAAAACTTTTGTTTTGTAGAGCTTCGGGATATTTTGAAGATTAATGTTGACTTCAAGAATGCAGTGGAAGTGAACGACTTGGACTCGATTATGAAGTTGTACAAGCCGGACGTGCTATTTCTTCCTGAGGGGCATCCTGGCTTCACTGGAAAAGACAGTGAGTTGTGCTAGTATATTCAAACTAGAAAAAGATCATAGATAAGATCGATGTTCGGTCGCCACCTCGTTGGTTGTGTGCGGGTTCAAATGCATGAAATTCTAAACTATTTTTTCCGTTTGAGCTCTTATTCATTGCAACTTGAAAAATTGCACTAGAGTGCCATTTTTATATCAAGATGAGTTGACATTTCAACTGCTTCAGCAGGATGTATGGCTTGAAAACATTGAACATGACCAAACGAAAGGAAATCCAACTTTAGTATTTGCTCCTAACCAGCTGTGAATTTAATTGTAAACGAACGTGGAATACTCCTGTCTCCCTGAAATGCAGATTTTTTCGGCGTCAATCGGATAGGCCAAGAGATACTAAATATTTCTCGAGACCACCTTTTCTTTTCAAATATTTAGTAATTTTCCGCTCGGTGGTCTTTGGCACTTGGCATCGGTGTTTGCTAGAAAACGGAACGGAATGAAAACTTAATAAATCATGACAAAAGACTTTCAACCATTCCATTACTGAGACCTCTCATGTTTCAAACGAGATGGAATTTTCCTTTTGGACAGCTTCCATTCAGGTTTCTCCAGAGGTAAACGGCACTTTGGTGATGCACACTTTCTTTGCAGCTCATAGTATTGTTTGATAAATTCCCAGTTGTAATGGCCAGTGCAAATAACACAACCTTTATTTTTCTTAATAGAATTGGCCGAAAACTTAAGTTGGGTTTCCAGCGCTGGAAAGTATGACTACTATGTTAACTACTTGGATTATCTGAGCTGGAAGGATGGTCTTGTCATGGAACTGAAAACATTCACCCTTTATGACAAGTCGGAGAACAAGCTGTTTGAAGGAAAGTAAGTATAATGTGGACTTGTCCAACTTGTAATTAGTGCTGCCAGTCAGACTTGCTATCCAGTACACTGAGGAGGTTCGTACTTGTAAATATTGGGGTGGTGGGTTGTTATACAGGCCCGTTGCCTGACTAGAGACTGGGGGGGGGGTCGTCAAACCAAAAGAGGAACTTTGGGCACTGTGAACACATTTTATACAAAGGCCTATCACAATGTGCATTGGAAAACAGCATTGAAAAGTTGCATGTCTGTCGCGAACCAAAGGTTGTATGTAAGACTTGTACACTGTAGTTTTCAATATTGAATAAACTTAGCAAAAATACATTGATTTCAAACCCTTTGAAACACCTGAGATATGGATATTTGCCGGAAATTCCTGACGGTACATTATGACTAGAGGTTGATTCGTTAATCGTGGTCACCTTGAGCTTGAGAATCCACGTATAAGCAGTGGCTCGTATGCCGAATATTACGGTATATTTGAAATATTCAGTAGGGCCTACACACAATGACCACCAGCAAGTGGAACTCGGAAGCGAGCGGGGGAGGGTTCGTTCGAACCCCTCGAACCCTCCCCAGCCTACGGGCCTGATGCATAAAACTAGCATCCCAGAATGAGTTATTAGTTCAAGGGAAAGGACACCTCGTATCAAACGTATTCCGAAAACATTCTGTGATAGCGATTCAGGTGTATCTAGCAATTGAATAGTTTTAACAATTAGATTCTCAGAAAATGGACCTTCCCGCTTTCCAAAACAATCTGGCCGGCTGGTTCATCGTTAACGATTTTTCTTGCGCTTTGGTTAATGTTTACCGTAAATTTTTTCACACAAGTCATTTTCCTTCCTACTAGTATAAGTTTGCTTTGGGCTCGTCTCTCATGTGCAGCCTCCTTTTTTTCCTCCCCAGGGCCCTTCTCCTTTGGCAATTGAATAAATACACTGGAACCTTCGAGATCTCGCTGGAAATGTTCAACAGTAACAAGAAGGGAGAGTAACGTCCTCTGGAGAAACGTCCGTTTGTGAAAGGACGACTTCAGACAGGAATATGACCCCGGATGTAAAAGTGTTTTGTCTATCTGTCTGTGTATATGTATTCCTATGTTAAGGAAGGCCGATCAAATATACAGCATTATGCGTATACCGCACTGCTAACTAAAATTTCAATTAGACTCGATAGACTACTTCGTGAGCACCATAAATGTGCTTCGTTCTGTCAGGAAATACTAGCTCTAATTGTAATGTTAGTAAATGGTAATGCTTCCCATGATCTGCATATTAGTATGGCATAGATCCCAGGTCCTCTCCTCGACAAATTGACTAAAGAACGAGAAAAGCAGTCTCAATCATAGAGGTATAGCTAACCAACGTTTATGTACCTATTCTGTGGCATCATGTAGTTATCGGTAAATCACAGGTGCACTGACAAGAATTGCAAAATAAAAGGGGGAAATAGGGCCTATCAATTGACATTTGTCTGTATCGTGCACTGATTAATGTCGTGTATGTCTGTATAAATAACAGTGAGAAGAGTATGCTTCTGAATGGAACGGTTAACTGAATAGGTCGGGATGAATGTTGAATAGCTCTCGGGTCTGGGCGAACTGGTGATTTGGGTGATGTGTGGCGGCGTCTTGGCACAATGGTAGTGCATGTTATACTAAAGTACACAACTTTATGAAGTCGCGGCTAGACGCATTTTGTAAGGCGGTAATGTAGGATACGATTTAAGGGAGCTCTCCAAAAGGTCGTTCGCTAACATTAAACTATACTAAAATGAAAGCCAAATCGGCATGGCATGCCCTTCCCCCCAGGGCGAATCCATGTGGGGGCCCAAAGGGGGCCACACCCCAAATAGAATTCCATTTGGTGGGATAGGGTGAGAACAGAGCGCTTTGTGAGGGTCCATTTCATTTCTCTTTCCAAAAGCGAATGAAAAGCCCCCAAAACACATCAGCAGGCCCACTCCACAGAAAGAGTAAAATGTTACATTAACTTTAACCCCCTGGGGTGTAATATGTAGGCCCTAAAATATTTAATACTGAAATTCTAAGACTAAGGACTGTTGGGGTTAAAACATTTCCAAATTTTTGTCCTCCCCGCCACCGCCCCCCCCCCCCCAAATGTTGGCCTCCGAAAATTTGGTTCTTAATCTGTCCTTCATTCACGACGGTATACGTACGGCTGAAACAAAGATTAGCATTTTGTTTGGCAGCAGTAAGGTTGAACTAAATCCGTGCAACCTTTAAAAATTTGTATGCTCAAAAATAAAGAATGAGTAAATTCTCTATATCCACTTTACGCCAAAATACCTCATATCCCATCGAACAATGACCGCATCATATTCTGAAAAACAGTAGGCAGAAGAGACATCAAACACATATTACAAACCAATCAAATCAAATCCAAATTCATGGAAACAGGTCTAAGAAACCGTGCATTTGTTATTTAATAAAGTCCAACCTTCAATTCCAAAATAGTAAATAAACCTGTTATTCCCACCTTAGTAACAAAAATATTTATCCACCTTACACGTGAAACAACAAAATGAAATCATTATTTTTACCCCGGCTTTGCCCATACAAGGTATTTCGGTACATCTTTCAGAAATTATTTGTGGTACCCGCTGCTACATCTGACTCGGACTGGCCATCCGACTCTGGCAAGCTTCAATTTCGAAGGTCAAGTGGTTTTTGACGTCTGCACTAGTAAGCTATAGGTCGGGGGATCGAGTCCCACCCAATAAAGTAGCGAATCTTTTTCGCGAGCTCTCAAACACTTAGCACACAGTGTTATGAATATACGTAAGTGTAATGGCAGAAAAAAACAACCCCAAAGTAAATATCAATACCCCCCCGCCGCAACTTACATGTACATCCATGGAAGCACAAAATTATTCTCACCTTCATTCCATCTATATTAGATACGATAAAAAATATTACAACCAAATTAGTCTTAATTATGAAACTGGCTTGATCAAATTTTATGTATTATTTTGGTCGTCCGTGAGTTATTATAGTTGACCATGATCCGAATACCTTCATTTACATTGTTAGCAAAAGCAGTTCCATTGCTCTGAGAACTCGCTTCGTAGTATACATTCCTTTTCTGATAAAATATTTGCTGAAATGAAGATATCCAGCACGATATGTGGCTATTGTCTCGTCTGCAAATTGGAGAGAAGTTCCGAGATTCCTTATGCATCATGGGAATAAAACAATTCTACATTCCAACGTTGTGTTTCCCCAGCACTCGTGCAGGTCCGTATACGAAAGCTCTGTCGGGGTATCACTTCGTGTCCAGGCGAGACGCAAAAAACGCAAGCCTCCGCAGTGTATGTGGCTACGTGGTTTACACTCTACTACTGCAAACACTTTTATTCGGCCGAGAAGCGATGAAGACGATGAAATAGCTCGAGGGTGAAAAGCCCCAAACTGAACATTAAACAGAATGCAACGGGATTCGAAAACGGGAATAGCGACGCAAGCAAGGTTTCTTCACCGGTATAGCGCCTCCGTAACATGGGGGGGGGCTCAACATTGTGTTTCTACAGACTAATGAAGCAACGTTTCACTGGACGTTCCGAACGGCCCCATTAGCATTAATAGCATATATTACTGTACTAGGTTTTATCCATTCGGAGTGACTCCCACGGATCAGTGGCTCCATACAATGGTTATTACAATGTCTACCGCCACTTAGTTGGCGCCGCTCCAAATGACCAGTGATAACAATTAACATTGCTGTGCGGGTCAATAGATTTTGCTATCAAAAGCCTAGTTTTTAAGTTATCATGGTGATTGACAATACTAGGTCAGTTGTATACGAGAGAATACGTCACATCTTAAAAAAATCTCTTTCGAAAATGCTATTTGTAAAATATTGAAAACTAAGTGTTTGACCTGAAAGAGAAATGTAGTTCTAAAAACGGACCTCTCACTTCAGAAAATCTAAAATACAGGTGACTTTTCTACAATCCTACTTGAAGAACGAAAAGATAAAATTCCGACGGGAGTGTGTCTTGGGATAATTTAAGTATAATTACAGAAATCATTCTTCCAAATTGATAGAACATGACGGCCTAATGTAAAAACCAAATACGCGGGTCTCATGATAGCCTTTCACCTCGAAGGCTCGAAACGACAAGAACAGAGACCAGATCCGCGCACAAGATGGCACGCACACAATGTGAAAAAGTCGCCCGCGTGTGTGGTCTCCGCTCCAGTCGCTTTACGGTATCACCGCTCAGTGTCGGTTATAGCCATGATGGCCTTGGCGAAAGGCTAGCTGCGAGACGGCTCCCTAAACTCGCCACGTGACTTTGTACGTGTGATATCAATCTATCTACATGTACGCTTGCAGACCACCAAGTAAGCTGTAAACAAGAGAACAGTGATATATACAACCATTTCAAAAAATCAGAAAAAAATACAATTTTCTCAGGTGTTTAAGATATAAATTGGAGCTCATTTCTTCATCTTTCCTTTCTTCATCTTTCTTCCTTTCCATTTAAACCAATGGCTTTGATGTTTTTGGAAGATATTTTGTCTCCAATGACGTTCACCCCTCAAACCAGTCAATTGATGCCTAGTTCAAATAATGGAGGGATACCTCCAGAAATACCAACTGGCAGTCCTGCTCGTAGATTCCAGTCCACGTGCCAAGAAATACTTTAGAAGCAGAAAATTTCACAGCATGCAAATCGTGATTTGATCTGTGCATGGAATTTTCATCATGTTGGGGTATTTACTAGCCTGCAACCCTATGGCGGCATAACCACTGTCGTTCGTGCGACGTCAATTGAGGGGAAACAAGTGAAAAAGAAGAAAAGACAACACAAATATCCCAGCACCCAAACAAGCAAACAAACGCTACAAAGGGAAGCTTTTTACAAAATATAAGGAGGCAAATGTATATACCCTCCTTTCCCAGATGCACGGCAGCTTCAAGGCCCATCGCAAAAGATGGACTTGACATTGAAGTGAATCATATTGGAGGACCAACCGTGAGATTACATGTAGGCCTACTCGTCAAAGCTGCAGGAAACTCAGTAACGTGCCCGTTTGTCGTTAGCACTCTCAAAAACACGTAGCAACCTAGTGACCAAAATATTGCAGTAACATGTATGTGGCGAATATGACTAAAAATGCCCGCAATGCATTAATTATGCTTGGTTCAATTCTCATAAACGAAAGTACGATTAAAATAAGTAGATACACTGACACAGCGACAAAAACCCATGCAATCAATGCCATAAGGAAACTTAGGAATCCAAGGGGATGTCTTCTAGAGTATATTATCATCTTGACACTGACGAAAATGATCAAAAGACAGAGTAAAATTGTCCCTAGTTTAAGGACTCCATCCAAAATTTTCAGCGAAGAATCAATCCTCTGCGATATATGTTGTACACTCACGTCGACACTCTTCAAACTGTTCTTTATGGCTGGACCAAGGTCGTTGACCAGGTAACTAGATGTCTTGCTATTCGCATCTTCACGGGGTAAAATCCCTAAAAATTCAACGATTGCCTTTGTGACCTGCACAGCTTCCGTGAACAGGGAACGGATTTTACCGATGGCAAACATTTGGGCGTCAGTGCACTCGAACATCAAGGCGACACACACCAGAATAAAAATCACTCTCATCGTGACGATATCTCCCATTCTCAGAGTGGATGTTACTATACGCGCTGGAATAAAAGGAAATAAAAGAGTGATTCGTAGTTTAAATTATTCCCTCTTTTACATTATTAAAAACGGGCTCTGGACCAATCAAAGTGCTGAGAGTGTGTAATGTATTTATGACTGTATTATAAGACTGCGTATTTTTTATAATTAACCCTCACGCTAATCTACAACCTGTGCGAGCGGGGGCACTTTATCATAGGCCTACGCTGAGGAGTGAGTTTGGCTATGTTGTTCTCCCTCGGCCTTCACCTCACCGGGTCGAGTTCGATTCTTAGCTCAGTCCACAAGCAGACTTGGTTTTCAGTCCCTACCTGATTCCGTGGGTTTACCCCGAATATTCCTCTGGGATTTTCCTCCTACCTCTAAAACTGTAACTGCTTCTAAACGTCGTCTGTCTACAGGTTTCTTCAGGCTCACGAATGGTGGCCTTGAAGGGACATAACCGGTCTCGAATACTGAATATATTTTGTAACGTCATGATTTTATTCCAGATTGGTGAGAAATATTTTTGCGACGCCATGAATATGTTTCTGAATTTATAATGTATTTTATTAAGAATGAATTAGCTTCATTGAACAATGACCATCAAAAATCACGCGACTGAAATTCCTCTATATAGCTTACTTCCTGGTTCAAAATGACGCCACACTCTGGAAGAGTTTGGGCAAAAAGTTTACATATATACACACTTCGTGGAAAAAACAGTTTCCTCAATTTTTTCGCTATTGAAATAGCTTTGTCAACCTTTTCTTTATGAGGTCAGAAAAAATCTCAACTTAATGTTCATTGTGTGTACTTCAACTGAAAATACTCAGAGACATTTATTATGGTTCAATTAAAGAATATTTCTGAAAAATTATTTTGTAAAAAGTTACATTTACTCCCTTATTGTCGTTCAAAATCACTTCAGAAAACAGTCCACCGCGACTATGAGATGTTACAAAATACAGAGAAAGTGGCACTAAATATTTGGGTTGGAGTATGTAAAATTTTGATTTTTTGTGTAAATATAGATATGAATCTTATACATGGATATGTCTCTGGGTGTTTTTATTTGACGCATACACCATGTACACTCAGTAGAGACCCTTTTGTCTGTGCTCATGAAAAGAAACGTTGGTAGGAATGACTGAAGTTGTGAAAATTCTTTTTGTTCTACTAGGTGTATATGTATTTTTTTGCCCCAACTGTAATAGGGACGGGGACCAGTCCAGCTGCAGGTACGGGGTATCCACGGTTTCATTAACAGAAACATTTCACAGTACAATTAATCATGATTTATGATTGAAGTAGGACAAAACATAATTTCCCAAGTTGAGCATTAAAAAAATGCCACCAAAAACCCAAATCTAGATCTGTGTATTGCAAGTCTCTACCTCTATCTCTAAGGTTTTGGACTTGTGGAGTGTTTCATGCAGCTCTGAAAACGACGACCAGCTTGTATACGGTGTTGAAGCTCGATGAAGATAGCTTTTGTAGCCTCCTGTATGCCTGTCATTCTAGTTTACAAGTGTGCCTAAACACCGTTCTTAAGAACCAATTAACACTACATTACTACTTCAGTTGGATTGATAATTACTACTTGTAAGTTTAACTGAGTTTATGAGGTTTATTGAGTTTTATCTATGACGCTGCGACACTGCTTCAGCACCACGGATTAGCAACATGCAAGTCTAGCTGGCAGTAGGTGAAGCATGTTGCTAATAGGCAGCTTTCCATGGCTTTCACGAATAAGTTCAGCATTGTCTGCATGCAGGCAGGTGGAATTTCACTGGAAAGCATTGCACAAATCTGAACTGGAATCATCAATCATACTCTTATAACTAAGATCTTCAGTCAGCTTAAAAAAAATGCTCAGGCTGATTTCCAAACATGATCCGATGACAACGGTTGAAGAAGTGAAATGAACTGCTTGCATTCCAACAACGCACGCTACCACATACTGTCTGGGATATAATGATGTGCACGTACATGTACATGTTTATGCAAATTCCCTTACCTTTCCTGCGCGATATTCAAACAAGGTGATTCTGTTTCAAGTGGTACCCCAAAAAACGTAACAATGTCACTACAGTCCACTGTAGTAAATCTCAGGGTTTATCAACACCGACAAAATTCACTGCAACCTCTGAACACGGAGGAACAAGAACACAAAACTTAACAGAAAAATGACAAGGGCTTACTTCGTGGCGTGTCCGTAATGGGGACTGGGAAATCCCCCAGGAGCAAGCGATGTGCAATTCCTACAGCATGGGGCAAGTTCGAGCGGCGACTGCAGTTAACCATGGGTGAACCTATGGTTCGACCGAGACCGCCCGAAACATGAAGGTTTGGACAATACAGTCGACCATTTTGGAACCAGCCTACCCTTGATGCGACGCGATCCCACCAATAGTTATCAACAGGCGATTCCTAGTCATTACGGGTGCGTTGGAACGATTGACACGGAAATAATCGCACATTATTGTCATTTCGATGACCAATCACTACGTACGCGAGAAACTACTTTGTTAGAGACCTACAACTTTCAAATGTTTCTTTTATGAAATGAATCTGGCATATCATTATTGTTCATTACATGCCCCCCTCCGGATGCCTGTGCTCCCGGGTGCCCCCCATTGAAATTGTCAATAATCTCCGTTGAGGTTATATAGCTATGCAGCTGCAGCTTATTTTCCTGCAGTGCTCCCTTCAAAAAAAAGTGTGCACCCCCCAGTTTCCCGATATTTAGCCCTTGTTTAATAATAATAAGATCACTGGATTACTTTGTGAACGTACATTTTCCAAAGTACTTTGTCTGGAGCAATAGCCTCTCCAGTAGAGGAGGTGGGGCAGGGAACTATTTTCTATTGGGGTAAGTATTCTTTCGCAGATGGAGAATAACCCAGACATTCGTTTTTTTTTGGGGGGGGGAGACCATTTTGGCCCCCTCTCAGATCTAAATCCTGCAATCGCCACTGGTCTGAAGTCTAAAGTGGCCCTGATGGGTCATCACATATCGAAAATATCTTAGAAAGTAATTTGTGAAAATATATGCATGTAATTATATCAACTTTGCAGTGATGTTAGTATGTAAGCTAAAATACACCCAATTCAAAGGGGTTCTCTCAGCAAGACAGTCAACAGTCACTCAACATTTGGGTGAGGAATACACCTGAGACAATTGCAGAGACAGATGTGTGCATTATCAAGATTGCGACATGCTTTTTTCGAAAACAAGAATTCCCGGACTTAGTGTATACTTAACACCAGCAAGTTGGTTTCGTATCAGCAGAAGGGGATAAATCCACTACTTTCTACCTTTAGAGACTTACTGTGTGTCCACCATATCTTGGCACAAGTGTCCCTTTTAAATGCAAAGTATTAACTGCTGGTATTTATAGTTGACATTTCTCCCGATTTAGAAATACATGTATCTCTATTAGAAATATCTCTAATAGAAATCTCTACTAGAAATAGAGATATTACTACTAATAATAGAAATA